ATAAAAAAAATAAAAAGAATATCTTGTTGCAATTGATTTCTTCCATCAGCAGCTCTTGTCATTGTCCCAGCTCAGTTCTCTTGCATTCCCGTCCCGTCTGGCCCGTCATTGCTCTACCAATTGTAATTATTCTCTCCTTCAATCCTCGTAACAGAAGATCCATGGTAGATTTTTCGACATCGGTCGCATCAGGCACGACCGAAGGTAGCGCTGAACTTGCTGGACACCGTGCTAGTGGTCGTCCCAAGTGTTCTCATTATGGTCGAATTGGCCGTTTTACCGCTACTTGCTTTGATATTATTGGATATCAGGAATGCTTTGGTTCCAGTGGTTACCACGATTGTAATTCTGGTGGTGGCCTCCGTGGTGGAGCTCGCGGAGAGAGTGTGCACTCACGAATGATGCGTTCTTTAGTGGTATCAGTGATTCATTTGTTGCAGGTTTTGTTGGTTTTTCCACTGCTAGTGGAGCTTTGAGTGATTCTGATCGTCTTGCACTTGGTCGTTTAACTGATGAACAATGGTCTCACTTTATGTCGTTGGTTAATTCTGCTGAACAAAGTAACCCCTTTTCTAGTACGCATCGTTTATTTGATTCGGTCTAGAGACTGAGGTTCTCATTTAAAAGTCTAGTGAGTTGCTTTCAATAACTTTCGTAACAAGGAATTAAGCATAAATGAGCAAACAAAAGCATACATATAAGCATAGAGATCCGCATTGATACTTTTACAAACACGGGATCAAACATAGATGAATATGTATTTCAATCGATGAACCTATAGACAATACAGTTACGAACATGTACACCCCATTCGAACCATGATCAATTATACTATCCCCTTCCGATTTATAGTTTATCAATCTAGACTAGACGGTGATCAAACAACTAATCATGATATTCAACCATTTTGAACAGGCATGAAAACCACACATCCGAAACATATTTGAGATGAGAATCGAAAATTCTTAGCCCTAGGTGGATGGATTAACTTATGATTGAATCCAAGTTCATGCTAATCAAATAAAATTAATTCTCATTCAATCAAAAATAATTGATGGTATATAAAAATTTATAATCAATCAAGAAATTTCAAGAATTCAATTCCTATGTGGAGTACTCTGAAAATCCAATAGTAAGTAAAAGGAATAAATGGACATTATAAAGTGGGGTTGCTTCATTGTGTTCAAGGAATCCACATGGGAATTCCTGTGTGGAGTACAAGAGGATTTGGTGTTCGGGAGCCTTCAGATCTCTCCTTAGGCTATTTTAATTATGTTCAAGGTTGTCCTCCATGATCTGGTACAAGTTTCTATTTAAAGAGTTCGAAGCGGGATGAAAATCTGTCCATGGACGTTATGATTTTATAAATCTGTCCAGATATATAAACGTTGCACTCCTGAAAATCTGTTTAGTTACATGGACGTTACGATCCTGAAAATCTATCCAGGCGCATGGACGTTGTGTTATGCTCTTGGAAATCTATCCATGTACATGGACATAACGTTTTGTCGCGGGGCACCTGACGAAATTATCCACATAGTATTTCCCTAGAAAACAAAATACAAAAAATATGAGAAAAATATGAAAAATACATAAATAACATAAAAATACAAAAAAGGGAAAAATCAATCTAATAGACCGAAAAATCTATAAAATAAGCTCACACGAACACGAGTAACTAATGTAAAAGCACAAAAAATAATAACAAAAACATGCAAAATAGAGGTTATATTTGAAATGTGATTTCGTATAAGTTTTTTTTCTCTTTAAATCTAAATAAATCTTAAAAAGTCTAGACAAATCAAAGTTATGAACAAATTGAATACTCATGAGTTTTTAAGACCTTTTGAAATCTCAAATGAATATCTGTGACTTTTTAAAATCTAAAACTAATACACGAGGATTCTTAAAACCTTAAGAATTCTAAGAATTCAGAATGAATACAACCAATTTCATAGGTTTGTTGTTAACACATTTTAAAATGTGACAATTAAATATTAAATATGCACCAAAATAGAAGAAATTTGCAAATTTATTTGTAAAAACTTGGTTTCGCACAAAACACCATCATTTTAGATGGAAAACATATTTAGTGTAAATGTATTAGATTGGAAATATAAGTTGGTATGGTCTTTAACCATGCTACAGTAACATAACACTTGACATAATTTCTGACGTAATATACACTTGCCACGGTCCAATTATGTATCAGGTCGATTAGAACCTCAAAGTTACACTGACTCCACAACAGGTCGAACTAAGACTCCATGATAGTCTGATAGAAGCTCGACCTAGAAGTAGAGAGGTTGAGGAAGGACCTCAAATGCATACTATCTGAGCAAAGACCATAATGGTTAAATATAGAAGGGATTGAGCTATTACTTTGGCTATGCTTAGAACGACTACCTAATGAGGTAAACTAATGTGAATACATCTGCTAATGAATAAGTGCGAATATGATTAGGATAAGAAGGACATATGAGTAACAAAATTGGACAGTCGGTGCAGTTCGACAGCAAGATCGGTCAAATTTTGGGTAGCAAGGTAATCACCCTATATAAAGGGTGAAGAATGATCATCATCTCTCTACATACTTTAAATATTCTAGACTCATATGCATCATACAACATATTTCCTATATACTGACTTGAACGTCGGAGTTTCTGCGCCGGGACAACCTCTGATGCTATTTTGCACGTAATTCCAGTGATTTAAACACGGTTTGAGGGACGTCGAATCGGATCGAGGTTGTTTACACGTTCATGTGTTAATTTTTGATATTTCGAATAGTTCATATATAATTAGATTTTAAGATTTTCAAAATTATAAAAATCTCACTAATTTAAATTATGAATATATTCTAAGAGCAATTGTTGTATTTATTATGAATTTTTTATATATGATATATCAAATTACTTATGTTATAATTATAGTAACTGAATAATATAAAATTATTTATCAATGAAATAAATTTAATACTCACACACTTTTTTGAATTAGACGGGTCTGATAAGCACTCAAGAACGCTCCTTTCCCCTCTGATATCCGACTTTCTCAATCCAAAAAGCTCAGCTCCTTTCGACTGTTTTGGCCTCTTCCGGCGACGGCGACGCCGTTTCTGCGGCCGTCGCTGGCCGCCCTTTCTTCTATTGCCGTTGTTTTCCTCGGTTTAGCAGACATAGCATTCTCTTCGTCTTCGTCTCTCCCGTCTGGCGGTGGGTTGGGGATCTGCGGCGGTTCCAGCTCGTAATCCGGCGTCTTCTGCTCGTCGCGATTGGGTGGCTGTAGGTTAGTTTCCCTAACTTGATTTGGCTCTGTTTGGTGGATTGGGTAATTGGTGAATTTGGGGGTTAGGGTTCGACTTGGGTCCCTGCGATTTCTCCGTCGGGGCTGTCTGTCAGGGCCTGTTTCGGCCCGTTTGGGTGTAGGGTTGGTGGTGCTGAGGGTGGGTGTGGTTTGGACCGCTTAGCCGGGGGTCGGATCCCTGCTGAGTAGTTGGCTGATGTGGCGAGAGGGCGATGGTGAGTTTGCGGTTGTGGAAGCGGGTCGGCGACGGTGGTGGTTGGGTGGGGCTCTGGTGGCTGCCGTGTGTCTCAAGTGGGGGTTGCCGGAGTTGGAGTTCGGGCAGGTAGCAACTATCCTGGTGCAGCTCGGTATGGGTTGCGTGGGATCCAGTTTTCTTGACATGGGCTAGTGGTGTTAGCCTAGTTAGGGTTATGCTGGTTGGGGTGGCTGAGCCTGTTCTCCTCGGTCAGTGAGTGCTGTCCTTTGGTTGGGTTCGGGGGCGGGGCCCTGCCTCTTGTTAGGCCTACGGCAGTTTCGGGGGTTGGGGCTTGGCTAGGGGCCCATCCTTTGGTCAGTTGTAGCTGTTTCTTCGGCTTCGTTGTTTCTCCGGGGGAGGGTCGTTTTTTAATTCTTCAGTGTGTTTGTAATGTGTGTTGTTTTTTCGATTTGTTGTCTTTTTTTGTTCGGTGTGTTTTTGTCTTTGTTTGGAAATGAATACAGGCTAGGCATTGTGCAGTGGCTCTGTTATTTATTTTCCTTTATTTTCGGTTGTGGAGTTTTCTAGGCCGCCATGTGCGTGTCCTCTCAGTTTTCTATTCCTGTTTTTTTTAGGAGTGTTTTTGGTTTGGGCCGTTGGCCCCTGTCTCATTACCCTGTTGGGGTCTTAGGATTACCCCGTTGGGGTCTTGTAATTTGTTCTCTTTGCACTTTTGTGCTTTTTATAGTACATCTATCGTTCCGGTAAAAAAAAAATGAAATAAATTTATTTATTAGGTCGATTGATAATGAAAATTAAAAATTTACAATAGTATGTGAGGGGTAAGTATACCAACCGTAGGTTATTCTAAATATGAATAATAATATGATTTTTTATGAATTATATAAAATATATTAAACCGTTATTGTTATTATTATTAGATTCACACACTAGATAATTTTTATTATTTACGGAGCATATATTTGTTTTTAATTAATTTTTGGTTCGGACACATAAATTTAGGATTACAAAATACAGGCGATGAACAACTGTAATTTCAAAACAGAATCGATCAAGTTAAGGCGAGAATAACAAGATTAAAAAATCCAACCTGTCGCCAGTCTTTTCACTACCAATGCTTAAAAATAATATCAAACCAAAGTTAAAGAACAAGAAAAAAGAGCCGAAATCACCCCAATAGGCAGAAAATATGTTGAGACACTAATCTCAAACAGCGGGCAAAAGGAAAAAGAAAAAGATAAAAAAACTAAAGAAAGAGAAACATAGCATGTAATGCAAACAAGGGACATCAGGTTCTTGGCGTGAGGATTTTGAAAAAAAACAGAGGGGAAAACCAGAGGAAAGAGGGAGAAAGAATAAAAGCAAAGACAAAAAATGGGAAATGCAAAAATCATTTCTTTATTCAGTCGGCGCGTTCTTGAAGCAAGAGTTGAATAATACAGGTAAAAATGGTGACATTTGGTAAACAAGATTACAGGAACACATGACCCAATAATAATAACAATAATTAGCACAATCTTTAAAATCTTGATTTTCTTTTTTGCTTCAATGTTTTTTTAATTTTTTCTCCACCACTTTCCTGGTACGAACCTTTTTCATTAGTCATTTTCCCATCTATCCCGTCACCGATTGATTTACTGTTTCAATTCATACGCATTAATGAAAAAGAAAAAGAATTTATAAGAAAAGTTGCTGCCTTTATTAATTTTCTTCAAAATTTATGGGCTGGACAGTTCGTCTGCTTGTGTGAAATGTGGCTTTTGCGTACTGTGCGTGTGTGTTTTCTATTTTTTCTTTTGAGTAAATTAAAGATTACACTGTTCTGTCCTCATTAATCCCTCTCACCCATCTCAATGTTTTTCACACCACACCACCCACCGCTTTCATTCCCATCTCATCTTAATACATAGTTCTTTCTTGTTTTCATCTCTTTCTCTCTCTCTCTCTCTTTCTCTAACCCTTTTCTCTCTTAATTTTGCTGTATGAGTATGGGTTTTCTGTTCATGTATTGTTTCCTTTTTGCCATTTCTTTTCTGTAGAGGTGAATTGAGGGGGAGCTCTGGATCATTTCTGAAATTTTTGAAACTTGTTTATTTGTCACAAGAACATTGTTTTAACGATTTTTGCTGTTTTTCAGGTCTTGACTTTAGATCTGTAGCTCCATCTGCTGCTTTTGGCTGGTACAGATTCTTTTGTTCAGTTTTTATTTTTGTAATGATATTTGCTGTTTCTGTAAGTGCTTGTTTGTTTGTTTTTCTGTTTTATCTTGGTCTGCTTTTCTGGGTTCAGAATTGATGAAACCTTCTTGCTTTATGTGGGGTTTTGAAGGTCTTTGAGCCCCTCTCTCTCTCTCTCTCTCTCTCTCTGTTACTGTTCCCTAGATTTTCTTAGCTTTTTTACTTTTGTTTCTGGGAGAGAACAAATCTCTATGTTAGCGACCTTGATAGAAATTAGACTTTTTTCTCCAATTTTGTTTTTCTCCACAAAATGGTTGTTGACGGATATTTGATTCACTATTAATTTCTTGCAGTTTTTCTCAAGATATTAGTGTTCTTGAACTATTGAAATTTTTGCCCCTGGAATCAATTTTATTTCTCATTCTCTCATTAGAAGAATTAACACAGTCCATGTGTTTGGCAATCATACATTTTTCTATTACTTGTAAATGGCTTAAAGCTGAATTGTTTGAAACAAGATAATGTACTTATCAAGACTTCATTTTTCTTTGGTGATGTTTGGTTGAAGATGTACTCAAGTGTTTTGGTGTAAAATTAATCTGCAGTTTGCTAGGATTCTAGAATTACTCTAGTGGGATCATAGAAGATCATACAATTTTTTTAACAAGGACTTGAATGTTTTTCTGTCATTTGCTTGCTTGACCTAAAGTTCTAAACATTATTCAGCCTTTAGTAGAAGGTACCCTTCCTCACTTAATATGTTAATCAAAATTACCCACTTTACATGCTTATGTTTGTTTAATTGGCCTTATGGTTCCCTTTTATTATTTGAAAGGTTCATTGGCTTGGAAAGATATAACCTGTAGCATAGAGTGGATGTTTTTAAACAAAGATCTATTCGACTCAAATTGTAATGTTGCCTAATGTTCGGCTGATAAACCTATACCATTGTCACGTTATAATTCTTTAACATTTTCATGCTATAACTAATCACTACGTTCAACACTTCTGTAACCCTCCCATTTTTCAAATTTTAAAGATGAAAATCTTTTTTTTTTTTTATCCTACAAAAGATGAAACATATGAAAATTTACTTTAAAGACTGTTAATTCTTGCAGTTTTGCTGAACAACATATAGACAGCATTTGAATAAAAAGTCCATCCTCAGCCCTAATGCAAGGACACAAAAGTTCCATTACTACCCTTTCCGAGAACTTGAGCTTCGAACGCGGCTCCTCATCAAGTGAGCCCGTTATAGACCACTCCCAAATATCTTGGAACAATATGCAGCCACCACCCAACAATCAACTCCCGACCAACCTTCAGTTCCTCAACCCTCTAACTCGCCAGTTGCCGCTAAATGCCGAGTGGAGCTTAGGCGAAACTAGTCGAGTAGACGAAAACAACGAAAGAAAACAAGAAAACGCATGGCCCAGCAATACTCTCCCTCAAAATATAAACATCAACTTAAACCCAATTCACACTCAGCCTCAGGACCACCTCAACACGCAGGCCGAATTCTCGAACTCCTCTGATTTACCTTCCGGAAGCAGTGGGCATATCAGTCGACAAATGCCGTGCAAGAGAAAATCTCCCGAGTTGCAGTCCTCTGTGGCAAGTGGCTCGAGAACAGCAGAAAACGGGCCCAACGCTAATAACGGGCTCGAGCAGCCGAACTCGAGACTCGGGCTTGGGCCCGAATACGAGAGTTCTCGAAGGAATTGCCGCCTTAGGATCAACGGGTTAAGCCGCCAACAGGATTATCACGGGCCCTTGAATCCAACTAATTTGCTGGGGCCCGCAAACCCGCAGTTGAGGTGGGCCGGGCCTGGAGGCACAAGAGTTGGTAATTTTTCGGCTTCGGGCCAGAGGGAGGCTGTACACCCCATTTTAAGTGAACCCATTACACAAAATGCATTGGGAAGCATTTCTGAACACCCCATTTTTGCTCCTGCTAGTGATGTAGGAAGTTTGGCTCAACAGCCCGTAAACTGGAATTTTGGCAGTGTTGGACCGAGTTCTCGGGCAGGCACTCGTGTGGGTACTGCCAACTCATCTGAGCCTTCTTCATGGGCAAATCGTGGCCGTCCACATTATTCACGTAGATTGTCTGACATTGGTCGGAGGTCTTTGTTGACTTTGCCAGGTGGCGAGTCATCTGGGCCCGGTAATCAAAGTCAAGCCGTACAGTCGGGCCCGTCACAGGGTGTGGTGATTTCGTCCGGGCCCGGTAATCAAAGTCGGCATTTTTCGGTGGCGGATGGTGCTTATGGACTGCCTAATTCGTTGAGAAATTTGGCTGCTGCTGGTGAAGGAAGAACAAATTTGATGTCTGAGGTAATGCTCTATATTTGTTGTATTTGATTTGATTGATTATCTTGATATTGTCCACTTCAGCATGGATTTTTAATTTTTTTTTTTTATCTTTGCCCTTTTCCTGTTTTAGCTAACACTATCCAGACTTTGCTTGATTGTTTTCATGGTCACTTTCTTGATGATTTCTTGGACTCATGATCTAATGTTATGTTTTTAACCTGCTGATTCTTTTTGCAAAAGAAGTTCTTGTGAATTTTTGGATTTTGTATCTTCCATGCAGTGATACAATCAGCATTTAGACATCAATATTGAATGGAATAGCTTAACTTCTGCATTTGCTTGATAATCAGAGACAAAAATAATTTTTAAATGATTGTTATGCTTCATCTTCAGTGGCTATTCTAGTCATTTAATATTGGAGATTCTTGTGAAAGTTATATCACATAGACGAAAACAATTCAAAGGTAAATAAGGAAGGATTACTTATGGAATTTGAACATATGCATCATATAACTCTATTTATTTATGAGGATCAACCATGCTTGATGACATATGATTCAATATTTTGGTTATAACATTTTACAAGATTGTGAGGTTGTATTTGCTTACTATTATCTTAAAATCAAATAAAAAAACTATAAAAAATTCTGTAAGGGTCTTAATTAATCAATCTTTTGAATTATGACTAGATTTCAGGATATTACAGTTGGTACAACTAGATATATTGTTATCAAATGAAGTTATTTTGGGCTTGACACAAAATTCATTTGCATAATCATAAAGAAACAATAGTAGTTGCATGTCCTCGAAAGAAATTGAAGGTAAATTTTCATGTTGCGAATATAAACGGACAAGAAATAAAAGGCAAGAAAAAGAAGAACATATGAAGCGTTTTATGGTTATTGGACATCCATAAACCAAAATCTCCTAAAATCCAGAGTCCAAGTTGAACTAGACTTTTGTCTTCGTCAATTTTAAAAAGATCATTCCTGATAAACAAACACTCACTTGAAAAGTGAAGAAAGTAACACCACTGAAAATCAAGCAGTCACTCGGAATTGAGTTCTGTAAGTAAAAAAGAACTTTTTGTACAGATTGGCAGAAAAAAAGGGTTTCTGCGCGTGAAAATGTTGTGGGCTTGCAATTTATCTTCGTTGGCTTATGCTGTTTCTTATTGCATTTTCATTGTTGATTGATGATATCAAGATAACTATTTTTCAGTGTTTCTTTATCCTCTGTCCTGACCGCATTGTTTCTACAGAATTTTGGGATTTCTGCTTATGCAACAAAAAAAAAAATAAAAATATTTTCTTACATCTAAAAATAATTTTTCAATATTATGGAATTTGTTCTGCATTTTGTGTTTTTCAGCATATTCGCCATGTCTTAGATCTCATGCGGAGGGGAGAGGGCTTGAGACTTGAGGTTGGTTTTTTCCACTTCTTTCTCTTTGTTTTATTTATTTTTTCTTTTTTCTTTTTTCCATACTCTTTGAAGTCAGGATTAAAGAAAATTCCAAAAAAAGTCCTAATTTTGTATTTAGTGGCAGTCATAAATTGTTGTGCTTGTTGTATCAAATTACAGGTAGGTGAGTAATTTGCTAGTTGATTCCATTTCCTTTGGTTGCTCAATATGTTACTTTGGACAAAATGTGAATGCATTTATAAATGTCTTATTCTTGAAGTGAGTTGTTGTAGCAAAAGTGCAAAGTAGTTGAGAATCTAAAGTTGATAGTGCTTTAAATTGATGTTAAAAGTTGATTCGGTTAAGAGACGAGGTATAAAAACGCTTGTATTTCGGTGTAAAAGTCAAACTAGAAGCAGAGTCTCCCATTTTTGTGTTCGTTGGCCGTCGAAAACACTAAAATCTTCTTTTCTCAGCCTAAAGCTGACAAATCACTTTTCCTTTTCCAAGTGTGTGCTAAGAATCCCTAATTACCATACAACAAGTAAATTCACCAAGTTCAGAAGGTGATTGTTTTGATAATATATGGAGTGTTCATTTATAAGCATGATAATGACTCATTTGTATTTAAACTTGTCCGCGTGGCGCAATGAGCAATAATCAGACACCAAATTCAGTTGCCTTATTCAGTTATTCCAAGAATTTCAGTCTTTTGGCCAGCATGAAATTATCATGTTCTTTGTTATAAATGCTGACGTTTGCCCCTCGACCCTTTCCTACTTTTTCCTTGCAGTCGATCTTTTTTTTTTTTTTTTCTTTTTTTTTTTTTTTTCTTGCTTTTACGGAACATTTTTCTTTTTCCCATTTCTAAAACTTAACATTTTTCTCGATATTCTGATTATTTCTCCAGGACGTGATGATTCTAGATCGCTCGCTCTTTTTCGGAATGGCTAATAGACACGACCTTCATCGTGACATGCGACTTGATATAGATAACATGTCTTATGAGGTGAAAATAAAACAATCATTTTTCTTCATTTATTACTTAGATATAATTTTCTCTTTACTGATTTTTCATTGTATTTTTGAGTCTTGTGCAGGAGTTATTGGCCTTGGGGGAGCGAATTGGAAATGTGTGCACGGGATTGAATGAAGGAACTATAATGAGTCGTTTGAAGCAGACAAAATATGTAAAACGAGCTGAAAAAGATGAGGCTGAGACCGAACCTTGTAGTATTTGTCGAGTAAGAACCTTTTTCTTCTCACTTGATTAAGTGTCATAAAGATGCAACATTTTTTCCTTTGGATATTTATAAAACAAGGTGAAATTTCGTTGAAAATACTAAATAAATAATGTCTTAGGATTCTCGTATACGTTTGTAATTTTCAAATAACTTTCTGGGTTTCTTATTTGCAGGAAGAATACATTAATGGGGAAAATCTTGGAATCCTTGACTGTGGGCATGAATTTCATAGGGACTGTATAAAACAATGGCTAAGGCACAAAAACTTGTGCCCCATTTGTAAAATGACGGGCCTAACTAAATAAAAAACGGCCGACACAAAAGAAATTGGCTAAGTCCTTGTTCGTGTGCGTGCTCGAGAAAAAGGTCTTTCGTCGGGCAAAACTATGGTCATGTGCTGTTTTTTCTAATTATCATTTGAATTTACTTCTTTCCCATCTTCATATAACTGCAAAAAATTTTATAATGTATACATGACATTTTCTCCTTTTGTGGAGATAACTTGTGTTATTCAAATTCTTTTATGGAGAAATTTATGTTGCTACAATGGGAAGGTGAATATTTGTGCTGAGAATTCGCATTAGCTGATGGGATTACTTTATTTGATTTTTTCGTATTTCGCTTTCATTTTTTAAATTTATTTTTCATTTCTCTTATGGTTTTGCTGAGTTTGCTAGTCGTGATCTTGTGATGCTCCGTCTTAATAAGATGTGCAAATTGTTTTCTTTATCTTGATGAAGATATTAGCTAAAAATGATAATGGATAAAAATGACAATTGTTTTTTTAATATTCTGATTTCTGATTTCAGGGAGGTTTCAAAGTTAAAACAGAGTTTTGAAAAATGGTCGGATTTTGTGCTATAGACAACAATATATTGTGATCTGAAAGAAATTGTGAAAGAAATTGTGAAGGTGGTAGATATTTGTAGTATTTAAAATAAAATAATTAACTTGAAAATCATTCTACAATCTTTCACCATTGTTAGTTCAACTCTGTCGAGGTGATGAATAATTATTTATATTTTACAAGGAATCGATAATATGATAATTTTGTTTGACACATCGAACCATATTATCTACAATTTTGAATATAAATAAATAAACTGCAAACACACACTTGATTAAAACATGAATCTCATTCAAATGGAATTTTCAGTAAATCAAAGCCGAGCTTTCACCATCCCACTTATACTTTAAAGCTTTCGGCCATACAAAGTATATACTCTTTCAATCTAATCCTCAATGAATTATATAACTAATCGCAATGTGTCTGATTTTCATTCCTTCTACGTATCTATTAAAGGCTGTTGCCGGTAGGTTCTTCGTAAAAGAATATGCCATGTTGTCATTTGACCCAATTTTGGCGACAACAACCTCCCCTCAACCAATGGTGTCTCATATGAGGTGGTATTTGCACTGTATGTGTTTACTCGCTTTGTGTGTTCGTAGTTCCTTAGAGTTTGCTACTGCTGTTATCATAGAAAATCATGATCGTTGTGGGAAAACTCGGTACCACGTTTAGGTCAACATGAAGTTCTTGAGCCAAACCGCTTTCTTTTGCTGTCTATGAGACCGCGACGTACTCGACTTCCATGGTGGAGTCTGCCACGCATTTCTGCTTGACACTTGGCCAAACTATGGCTCCACCTCCTAGAGTAGACACAAACCCTGAGGTGGATTTACTTTCATCCCAGTCTGATTAAAAATCAGAATCTTTGTAACCCAAAGGGAGCAATTCGTCCGCCCGGTAAACTAGCATATAATCCTTAGTCATTTTCAGGCACTTGAGTATATGCTTTACCAAATACCAATTTCATGATCCTGGATTACTTTGATATATGGCTACCATAACAAATATTCGTCTGTGTACGCAACATCGCATACATGAGGCTTCCTACTGCCGGTACATAATGAACTGTCTTCATGTCCTCCATCTCATAGGCTGTCTTGGGAGATATCCCCTTAGATAGAGGGACTCCATGTCGAAAAGGTAAAAACCCTTTCTTGGAGTCCTGCATGCTAAAACAAGCCAAGACAGTATCTATGTACAAAGACTAGGATAAACATAACATATTTTTCTTGCGATCCCTTAGAACTTTGATCCCAAGAATGTGTCCTACTTCTCCCAAATTATTCATATCAAACTGGTTGGACAACCATACATTCACGTCTGACAACACTTTTACAATGTTTCAAGTGAGAAGGATATTGTCCATGTATAGCACAAGAAACACCACCACGTTTCCATCATTTTTTTGTACATATAGTGCTCATCCAGACATTGGGTAACAGTGTTGCGTGTATGATGTGCTCTTAGAATATTTTCAGTCACCATATGCGTTAGTCTGATTATGTCCCCGAAGTGAGTTCATGAATGATTATTATGTTAAATCCTACAGGTAGATTAAGTTCTTACATAATAATTAAGATTTGAGTAGTACTAGCTTCGATTCAAGATATCAATTAATTCTTGATTGTCAGTAATCGAATTAACTGATGGACATTATATCTTAAACATGGGAGGTAATTCTGGTAATTATTATTGGAGTCTCGAATATAATTCGGGGATGATAAGGGAGTGCAATAATGTTTAGTTAACCGAAACATTATTTAAGTTATTGAGAGTGGGCATGGCCCACAGTTAGACCCAATACTAAAGGAGCCTACATCATCACCTCCTTAGGGTCCCTACTATAGCCCTATAAATATACCTTTAAACTCTTGGGATTAAACACACATAACCGCATGCCAACACGCGATCGACTGACCCTAGTTCTTAAAAGAGTTTTATCTCCGAGCCTTGTTGCTGCACTGAGACAACCAGAGAGGTGTCGAGTCATATAACAGAAGTCCCCAAGGTACGTGAGACCTCAGAGATCATCCGCAAGCAGACGCACGCGACCAGACGTCCTCGGCGAATCACCGCGTGCAACCAGGAGACACGAGCGACCAGCCGAGACACACTCTCGACGATCACTGCGCACGGCCAGCACGCAGCAGCGACCCGTCCCGTCCTCCTGCAACCCGGGAAGTTCTCGCGAGCTCCTCCCGGCGACCGCGACCCGCACGCTGCAACCCGACGTGCTAAGGCCTATTGCGACCATACGACCTTTTCCCGGCGACCCCGGGATGACCGAACGAGGTAATTTACGGTGAGTGAAAAATCAGATGATCTCCATCAATGGAAATCTACAACATCACAGATTCTCCAATTTTTAATTCGTAAGTGTTCAACCTTAAACCTCTAGATCCGCTGCGTATAGGTTTATTGTTGATTATTCTATTCATAACTTGTACATAACGAGATCTTCACTGGTCTCAATAAGTGGTATCAAGCCCACAGTTAATTTGTTTTATTTTCAGCTTATGTGACAACGTGTGTTCAAGCGCAGCCATAAATTGGATTTATTTGCATAACTTGGTTTTGCAGGAATACGTTTAATCTACTATTATGGCCGAATTGTGTTTGATTTGTTGTTTCTTGGATTTTTACAGCCTCAGACATGTCGAGGAATTTTTTGGTTGAATGTTTGTAATAATTATTCGCCCGGTGGGGTACCGAATATATTTAATTATTCTTTGGACGAACATGTAAACCCATCTATGGGAGTAGGATTGAAATATGTTATTTTTGTTAATTATGTTTTGATCGTGATCGTGTACGGACGAGCTGGAGATCATCGAGACAGACGGACCTCGACGACCCGATCAGTCTCGGACCACTACAACACCGGGCTGGGACACGCGAGTATGTGCGGGAGTACGACAACACGCTGCCAAGTGCCCCAGGCGCGTCACTCACAGTAGCCAGAGGGCGTAATCTGCATGTGGGGACCACGGGAGCTGATCGGAGGAGTCCAGGCATAACGGTGCATGGCGTTTGGCGGCATCGCGTAGGAATTGTACTGGTTTGCTGATACCAAGTGACATAGAGAAAGCGTAAATGATAGCGAGAATCAAGAGAAAACTCTCAATATATTTTATATCAATAAAAAGTAAACTCCCTTAAGACAAAAGAATATGAATCTTAAATTGATCTCCTACCAACCCTAATGAAATAACTTATCTACCAAGAAAACGACTATGATAAATATATTTTCTATAAATAAATATCTTTCCTACCAAATCAAAAACTAATAAAAATTAAATAACTTTCCTACCACGTAAAAAAGCCCAAAATAGTTAAATACCTTAAATAACAAATAATTAATTAAACTAATGTTACCAAACGATCAAGCTTGTTCAGAAAAATCAACGCAATCTCGTGTCCATCACTCCAATTGATACCTTGTTGCGAATTTCCACCAAACAACCACTATGAGCCATAATTCTAGTGCCAATATGATGATAATGAGAGATTATCACACACAAATTTGTAGTAATTATGAGATTACAAGTGTACAGTAACCCCTGAATGATAGTGACTAGAAAATAGGATAGACAAATTAGTATTTATTGCTTGGAGTATCTTGTTTGTAATGATAAATTTAGGGTGGTCCCTTGTTGGGTACAAGTCATTGTACTTATAAAAACTATATATGAAAATGCAATGATTACATCAAACGTCGTGCCAACTAAGGGCACAATTGATGAACGCGTTCATCAGAAGGTCGCATACAAACAATTATTCTTTTGAGGATGTGACACCCGCTTTTTGTTGGACGGTTTGCTTTCTATTTTACTTTCACACCCACTACAAGAATATGATGAAATTTCAATGGAAAATTCCAACGGAAATATATTCCAATGGAATTCCAGCGACAATTCCAATGGATATTCCAATGCTATTATTTCCATTGAAAATTTTTCATTGGATTCTAACGGAAATTCCAACAAAAATATTCCGTTGGAATGAGTTATCCATTGGAATTTCCGTTGAAATTTGACGATTCCAATGATTGAAATATGAGTGAAAATAAAAATCCCAACGAGAGTTGTATATTTCAATGGAAATTCCTACAGTAAAAAACTGTTGCAATAATAGCTGTTGAAATGATCAAATTCCATCCAAATTCCAATGGAAAACTCATTCCAACGGAATGATTCATTTGGAATTTTCGTTGTAATCATTCCAACGGAAGTTATACCATTGAAATATCTGTTGGTTCGCTTGTTCCTCCCAAGTCTTAGTCATTTTCTCGGCTCCGGGGCTCTTCCCATCCTTCGTAGGTATAGAGATAGTGTGCGGCGTTAAAGGTTGTCACCCCGTGACCACCTCAAATGGGAGGAGCCCAGTGGATTAACTCTTCTCAACTTGTAAGAAAATGTTGTGGTATCATCCCAAGATCATACTCATAATTGAGAGAAAAACAAGTTTATATTACTCACAAGAATAAAAACAAGAGATTTACAAACTCTAAGAAGAAAAACTCTCAAACTCTCCACAACTCTTCTTGGTTGTGTTTCAACACTCTCTAGGTTGATTGATCACACTCTTGGATGATTTGAATGAATGAAATAAGCACTCTATTTATAGACAAGATTGAGCACGCCCTTGTTGACAATGGTGTGTGAATGAGGAAGGTGGTGGATGGCACACCATTGATGAATTCTCCATTGGTGTGCCACTGAAGGTTTGGTGGAGACCTTGCATGGAACTTTCAATTCTCCCCTTTCCATGCAAGTTCTGAACAAACATTCCTACTATTTCTCTGCATAGCTTAAGCTTGTCCAGTGTAAC